TTCATTCTAGAATGAACACAGATTATATCACGAAAACATAAATGTTTAGCTAAATAGCTTAAATCTCATAAAATTAAACATTTATATGTATATATTTTTATTATATTGACCTTTCAGACATGCCTGGCTAACAATGATGTGGCACATGTGCAATCATTCTACCATATCCAATAACATAAAACTGACATTTGGTCTGTACAAAGTAACTTGCTTGGTTGAAAAATCATAAATTACAACATTAATACCATAGAATTCCACTGTTATTTATCAGCAGGCTAAAGACACACCCTACCTCATTGAAAATTTGGTTCAAAAGAAAGAAATAGCACCAAGTCTGTTAAAATGGCTGAGAAAGCCAATACAGGGACATTCTGAGCTTCTGATTGGTTATTCATGTCATGTATGGAAGTAAGTGTATATAAGTGTTTCCAAAAACGGAATGAGGTGGGTGGGGTGCCACTGTGTTTGATTTATTTCATGAGCAATATCTTAGCAAATTGAAAAGATAAGAGGCTCTAATTTTATATTCTAGCTTGTCAATATTGCTAATTTCTGTTTCTAATTCATTCAAAATTATAGACTTAGTATTTTGACTTCACAAACATCTAATTTGAACCAGTGCTGCATTCAACATGGCACACAAAAATCGATGTTTATCTTTTTTATTAAATATTTGCTTTTAATTTAAGAAATTGAGTAATATATAGTGCTAAAACTTTGAATAATTATCTACAGTTTGATACCAAACTTATTGACATAAATTCATGAAATAGTAGTTAAATAAAATTTTGAATGGGAGTCAACAAACGAAATGACATAGTCTTTCACCCGTGAACTGTCTTGAAAGGGTTAATGGGAAAACGTATGCAAATGTGGAAGATGTTAAAGAGGACATTGACATGTTTTTTGTTCAAAGCCAAGTGATTTCTTTAATCAGGGCATTAACAACCTGATTGTAAGATGGAAAATCATCATCAATAAGAATAGAAACTATTTCATTTAATTAATATTTAGTTTGATATACAAGTTGT